CTCTCTCTCTCTCTCTCTCTCTCTCTCTCTCTCTCTCTCTCTCTCTCTCTCTCTCTCTCTCTCTCTCTCTCTCTCTCTCTCTCTCTCTCTCTCTCTCTCTCTCTCTCTCTCTCTCTCTCTCTCTCTCTCTCTCTCTTGCTTCCTATTATTCTCTCTCCCTCGTGCTTCCCGTTACTCTACTTCTGCCTTCATAGTGTCATTCCCTGTCATCTCTTGTCTGTTGTCATCTCGTATCACCTCACACACCCTCCTCCCTTGCCCTCAACAATCTCAAATTTACACTTGTGTCAAATTTACCCTTCCGTCTCCTGCTTCTCCCTCCTCCCTCTCTCCCCTCCCTCTCCTCCCTTCTTGAACCCCCTCCCTCTCTCCCCTTTCTCTTCTACCTTCCTCTCATCTCTCCTTCCCGCATGCGGTAAAGTGTATATGACGTATATGACCACCTATGCCAAATATAGGGGAAAAATGTCAGAACTGGTCTCCCCTCCCTCTCCTCCCCCTCTTCCCTCTCCTCTCCCCGCTCCCTCTCCTCCCCCTCCTTCCTACCTTTCCTCCCTCCCCCTCCCCCTCCCCCTCCCCCTCCCCCTCTCCTTCCTCCCCCTCCTGCCTTTCTCTCACGTTAATTCGTCAGCCCCTCTGCTTCTCCTGGCAGCCCAAATGGCCAGCGACTGAGACGCCACTGGGACTGAACATCGACAAGCGAACTGTGAGACTGTGCTGGTGCAGCGAGTGCGATGATGATGATGATGATGGTGATGGTGATGGTGGTGGTGAGGATGATGATGATGATGATGATGAGGATGATAATGATGATGATGATGATTGAGACGGATATGATGGGACAGCATCATTTCTTTCAAGATCGTACTTTTTTGCAAGTTTTCATTGTCATGTCTGAGCATTTCAAGTCTTCGACTTGACATGTTCACTCCTTTGGTTGTCAGGGAGAGATCACGGGAACGCCTCATTTCCTAGGAGAGATAGTCTGCCAAGTCACTTGCACAGATGCTGATGGAGTTCCATCAGTCACGGAGCTTCGGTGAGTTCAACGTGATGTCTGGAGATGATGACTTGAGCGATTGTGAAAGTAGACATGATGTGTTGATGTAAATCTTGTTCGTTTCAGTGCATGTCTTGACGTGTTGATGTAAATCTTGTTCGTATCAGTGCATGTCTTGACGTGTTGATGTAAATCTTGTTCGTCTCAGTGCTTGTCTTGAGGCGTGCGAAGAGCTTGATGTGATTGGTTGCAACGAACAGCTTCAAGTGCTCCAAGCTTCCAGAGAACCATCAAGTGCCCAGGTTTCTCGACTACAACACTTCGTCCAGTACTTTGTCGTGAAGCGAAAGGTTGAGTTGTTAATGTGTAGCAGATGTCATGTTGTGCATAGTAAATGTCTGAGAGATCAATCGCATGCTGCCCGAGCTTTCGAAACGATCTCGTGTGAGAGCTGAGGGATCTGAGAGAGCAGCTCTCATTGTCATGAGCACGTCACCTGCTCTTTTATCGAAGATGACAAGCACATGTCAAAAGTCGTCAAGATATGGGAGAAGTGAGTCAGTACAGCAATCAGCGCTCGATGATACGTATGATTGCAGATTATCTCTCAGACCTCAATCGCTGAACCCATCTTTACCACAACAGCAACATTGCAGTAAACTACTTTTTGACATCACCTCTTCGTCGGATTATGTGGTCGAATAGGCTGAGATGATGTCAAACTAATGTCTGTCGCAAAAGAACGAATTGCTCTACTTGCTCAACTCCCTCTAATGTCTCAAACGTCTTTTCAACCTCTCCCTCTTCCTCCTCACTCCTCTCATACCATCTCGCAGTAGGCCGAGCAGCTCTCGTCCATCCTCAGCATGTACCCTGCCTTGCAGACCCAAGCACAAGCGTTCTGATCGTACGGATACCCTGACCCCACGTACACCGTCTCCCCCGCCATCTTGTTCGTACACTCCCCGCACTCCCCGTCCCTCGTGCTGTTGCAGGCCTGCCGGTACTGCCCCACGTCGCAGGGGCTGGTGGAGCAGGCGGAGCAGTTTGCCGTGCCCGGGGCAGACTTGAAGGAGGCTGGGGGACAAGGCTGGCAGGTGTAGAGCCCGAGAGAGAGCTGAGGGAAGAAGCCAGCAGGGCACGAGCAGAGCAGAGGGTCTCCGGCTTGGCTGCAGTAGTCAGAGGTGCTGGAGGAGGGAGTCACGCAGAGGCTGGTATGTCAGAGCAGTTCTGGAGGCCGGTATCATACTGTACAGAGGCAGGCCAGGAGGGATGCACGCAGAGGCTGGCGTTGTTGCCGGTGATGTAGATGGATGCGCTTGCAGGGATAGAGGCGAAGGCAGCAGCATCGATGCAATAGATGTTGTTGTTGGAGAGATAAAGCTGTTGCAGGCTTGTGAGCTTGTCGAAGAAGCCATCCGATATGCTCGTCAAGCTATTGCCATAAAGGAAGAGACTCGTCAGACTTGTCAGGCCGCTGATACTTGTAGGTAGACTTGTCAGCTGGTTGTAGCCAATATTGAGAAACGTCAGGCCTGTGAGCTTGTCGAAGAAACCATCCGATATGCTCGTCAAGCTATTGCCATAAAGGTTGAGATCCGTGAGACTTGTCAGGCCGCTGATACTCGTAGGTAGACTTGTCAGCTGGTTTCCACCGAGATCGAGAGACTTCAGGCTGGTGAGGTCTGAGGCTGTCAAAGCTCCGTCTGCGATGCTGCTGATCCCTTTCCTGCTCAGTGGAAGATTTGTACAATTAGTACCGCAGTCTCCTCCTACTGTCTTGACAAGAACTCCATTGCTGACGTTGAAGGTGCAGAAACCACAAGTTGTCTGAGCTTGCACGGGCTGATGTAGCAGCATCAGCATGACCAGCAGCATCGACAACCATGCTCCTCCTGCTCCTGCTCCTGCTCCTCCTGCTGGCTGTGTCATGAACCGTCGCAGCATGTCTTAGCTGCCTTTTACTCAAAGTTTTAAAAACTAAAAATCACTACCAGGACAATCAGGGGAGTAGAGGAGCCTCTCGGTTTTATATATCACTATATAAACATGATTGATGGCGTTAGAGTCAACTTCTCAACCTTCGCTGCCAGATTTGAAATTGTTACATGGGAACATCATCGCTTGTTCGAAACCAGATCTCGCAAATAGGCTCACGAGTTTGAAATGTCGGTACCATAAATCAGTTTTAAAACTTGTTAGTACCAAGAAATACATTGTAGGTGCTACTGCTAGTGGCTGCTGGTACTGCAGTGAAAACATTTTAGTGACTGGCACGGTAGGGGTGACTCGGCTACGGGTACTTTGCTGGGCAAATCCTGGGCAGAAGGCAGCAGATGCTCCGATAGGGGTGGGGGTAGTAGCTCCCTTTTTAGGGAACTGCGACGGTCAATCCCTACGCACGACGGGAAGGGCGATGAAGGAGGGAAGAGGTGTGGGGAATCACTGATTGAGAGGAGGGCTGAAGCAGCCACGTGCTGCATCACTGTCATGTGCAGGGCGAGCGAAGGCAACGGGAAGAAGAGTAACTGTGACATGTCATGAGGTCATTGACGCAACACTGGGGCTGAGGAATGCATAGCGAGAGATACAGATACAAGACATGGAGGAAGAAGGGAAAAGGTAGGAACCGAGGATTAGAGTATGAGCAAGGAACGAAGGTCGATTATGTTTACCAGGGGAAGTAAATAACAAACACAATATAACTGATTGTGCTGACGAGTTTTGGACCCTCCTGCACCAAGAGGTTGCCTGGCTGTAAGGGACTCAAGTGGAAGAGAAGTCAAGTATGGTTGACTTGTGATGATAGAGAACGTAGTAAACAGCACGACCAGTGGTCAGACTCTGATAGCTGCCCAGTCTCATCCTCATTCCTCTTCTCGTGTCTCCTCCCCGCTCCTTCTGCCTTGCAGTCCCAAGGACAGAAGTTGTTCGTACACTCCCCGCACTCCCCGTCCCTCGTGCTGTTGCAGGCCTGCCGGTACTGCCCCACGTCGCAGGGGCTGGTGGAGCAGGCGGAGCAGTTTGCCGTGCCCGGGGCAGACTTGAAGGAGGCTGGGGGACAAGGCTGGCAGGTGTAGAGCCCGAGAGAGAGCTGAGGGAAGAAGCCAGCAGGGCAATGCACACAGAGGGTGGCGTTGTTGTTGCGGATGTCGATGGATGCACTTGCAGGGATAGAGGCGAAGGTGGCAGCATCGAGATAAAGCTGTTGCAGGCTTGTAGACAACTGAGGACGAGTTGCTGCTGATACTCGTAGGTAGACTTGTCAACTGGTTGTAGCTAGAGAAGCTGATCGTAAAGGTAGAGATCCGTCAGGCTTGTCTCAAGTTGCTGAGCTGATCGAAGAAGCCATCTGGTATGTTATTTAACCAAATATTGTAGTAAAGGTAGAGATCCGTGAGACTGGTGAGGCCTCGGCTGTTACCTGTGTAGCGCAAATCAAGAAACGGCTTGTAAGCTTATCGAAAATGTCATCCTGCTGATACTTGTTGGTAGACTTGTCAAAGTCCTGCTCCTGCTCCTGCTCCTGCTCCTGCTCCTGCTCCTGCTCCTGCTCCTGCTCGCTGCTGCTGCTGCCTCCCTGCTCCTGCTCCTGCTCCTGCTCCTGCTCCTGCTCCTGCTCCTGCTCCTGCTCCTGCCCCTGCTGCTCGTGCTGCTGCTGCTGCTGCCTCCTGCTCCTCAAGTGTCAAATGGATTTTTTTGTCAACTTGAATTTGAAAGATGTTAGTTGACTGCCCGGCGTTGCCCGCAACCTCCCAGCGGCTGTATGAGTCCAACGCATCTGTCACCGGTTTGAATCAAAAGGGGTGGGGTGGGGGTCAGGCACTACCCCATAAATTCATGGGATGGGTGGGTCACTACCCCCACCCTCTAATTTCTCTATTATGTTGTCAGTATATTTCCTCTACATTGTCATCATTCTACGCATACTACCGGTGTATCTCAGTACCCTACCCGGATCAGGGAATCGAATACCCTATACCTCACCTGGCAGGAACGACAGCCATGGCGGAGAGCAAGAAGGAAGAATTCAGGAAGTACCTCGAGAGAGCCGGCGTGATCGATGCACTGACCAAGGTGAGGAGGAGAGAAGAGGAGAGGAGAGGAGAGGAGAGGAGAGGAGAGGAGAGGAGAGGAGAGGAGAGGAGGGGAGAGGAGGGGAGAGGAGAGGAGAGGAGAGGAGAGGAGAGGAGGGGAGGGGAGGGGAGGGGACGGGAGGATTGGGAGAGGGCAGGGGAGGGCAGGGAAGAGGAGGGGAGAGAAGTTCGGTTGAGAGCATTGAGAGATGAGGTGTTGGGGCGGGGAGAGGGGCACAGTAAACAGCAGGAAAAAGCATTATTGACGTAGGAGTAAAGGCGCGGCAGGTAGCATGGGAACAAAGGGAGGAGAGAAGTAGGAGGGTAGAGGGGAGGTAATGGAGGAAAGAAATCGAAGTAGGAGGATGGGATAGGGAGCTGGTTGATGGAGAGACTGGGATCAAGGTGACAAGAGAATAGAACAGGGAAGGACAGTAGAAGCAACAATCAACTTTCAAAGTGTGATTGTAGTGAGAGGGAGAGGTACGACAATCAACTTTCAAAGTGTGGCTGTAGTGAGAGGGAGAGGTACATTCTCACTCTTCCCTCCCCTTGCTCTTCGCTCTCTCCCTTCCTGTTTGCCTGACACGTCGGGAAGGTCTTGGTTGCTCTTTACGAAGAACCGGAGAAACCAGCGAACGCGTTGGACTTCATCAAGCAGTATCTCGGAGCTCCAACGAGCGGAGATGTCGAGACGATGAAAGCAGAGAAAGATGAGATGGTGAAGAAGAACGAGGAGCTGACAAGGCAGCTGGAGGTTTGTTCTGCTTGTTGTGTTTCGTTGTTTGCTTTGTTCCTTGATCTGTCATGTTGTCTTGTGTTTTAGTATTGGATCATCTCTTGTGTCTACCATAGCAAAGTTGTTGAGATGTCCAGAATTGCATTTTAGAGTTGTTGAAACGTTCAGAATTTCTTTTTCAAAAGTGCTGTAGCTTTTCACTTCAGATGCTCTGTTGTTGTCGATCATACATCCGGATTGCTTTCTTTCACGTGCAGTTGTTCTCGAATGATTCAGATGTGTTGTTGTCTTTTTTGTTATTTTTCCGTTTTCATATTCTCTTTGCTATCTGTCTTCTCCTAACAAACATTCGGCAGGAAGTCACCAATCGCCTTGCCGAGCTGCAGGCAGGAGGAGGAGGAGGGGAAGGAGAAGGTCAGTGATGATAGGGAAGAAATGACGAGGGGGAGAGCGACGAGGAGGACGAGAGGGAGGAGAGCGATGGGTGTTGTACTGAGGTTATTCATTCACCCACAAGCACTTCACGAGCTTGCGATTGTAGAGACGTTTCTTCGATCGCCACTTGTTTGTAGACATCGCATCTTGTTAAACTAATAGATGAAGTTTGAAACTGCAATGAGCATGATGCAAATTCACGTTTTTAACATCTGTTGTATTCATGTTCGTCGTAAATCCTCCTCATTCATCATTCTCGTCACACAAACCATTCAAACTCTCTCTTCAACTGTTGACAGGTTTCTTGCTTCTTTGCCTCCTTCTCGTTTTCGATCTTTTCCTCTCCCTTCCCACCAGCAGCGTCCAATGTCCCTTGTCTTATCACCATCATTCCCTTCCTCCTCTCCACAGGCAAGTAAATCTCCCGTTCCTCCCCGCCTTCCCTCGCTCTGTCCTCCAACCTTCTGCACTTTCTCTCGAGCTCTTCAACTCTCCTCCTCTCCTCCCTCAACTTCTCATCTCTCTTGGCCGCTGCCTCCACCGCCAGCTCCGCCACTCTTGACAGCCTCGCAAGCTTCTCTCTGGACGCCTCTCCTCCTTCCTGCTCCTGCTCCTGCTCCTGCTCCTGCTCCTGCTCCACCTTGGTTGACGTCTGTTTGACCTCTGGTTGCGAGGAGGAGGTTGCAAGAATCAGTTCGGCCGAGTACTTGCGCGCGTCCTCCAGGTCCTTCTCGAGGGCGCCCAGCCGCCGTCGGAGCAGCGAGAGCTCCTCCTCCTTCTCCTTGTTCACCTCTGCCTGAGGAGGGAGCAAGGGGCAGGGGGACAAGGGGGAAGGGGAAGGAGGAGGAGGAGAGCGATGGTGTACAGCAGGGCTCGGAGCTTCTGATTCTGTCGCCAGCTTCGCTATCTGCTCGTGAAGAACTTTGTTCTCGTACTTGAGGGTAGAAATGACCTGAAGATGAGAGTAAGTAATATGTCACAAGGTTTCTCAAGATTGATCAAATTACTCCTCCTGCACCCTCAACCCTCCTCCTCCCCGCCCTCCTCAAACCGTCCCACAACGTCATCCAACTCTTTCAAACTGGAAGGGTCATATGATCATCATCGTGATCATCATCTCCAGCATCATCATCGTCATCATGAGCAGCAGCAGCATAAACCCTATTGACATAATCACATTTACACCTCATTTTCACAACACAATCATCATCATCGCCATAACTCACATCACCTACATCTACATCATCCTCCACATCTTCCTCGCCCTTACCTCTTCTCTCCTCGCTGCTGCAAGTGAGTTTGCTTCCAGCACAGCTCGCAGTCTCTTCACTTCCTTCTCCATGCTCCTTATGCCCCCCTCCTTCCGCGCCTGGCCCCGAGCCTCCTCATCCCCAGCCTCCTCCTTCGCCTGATTCGTCTGCTCGGCTCGCGCTTGCTCTTCCTTCCTCTGCATCTCCTCCATCTCCTTCTTCAGCTGCTCCAGCTTCTCCTCAAAGTCTTTCTTCTCCTTTCTCCTCGCCCCCAGCTCTTCCTTCGCCTCCTCCAGCTCTTCCTTCGCCTCCTTCAGCTCCTCCTCCTTGGATTTCAGCTCCTCCTTCACAGACTTCAGCTCCTCCTGCATTGTCTCTAGTTCCTCCATAGACTTTTTCAGCTCCTCCTCCGACTTTCGCTCCTGCTGCCTCTCCATCTCCATCGCCTCCAAGGTGGCCCCCAGCTCCTTCAGCTGCTCCTCTCTCCCGAGTAGCTCAGCTCTGACCTGCTCATGTTCTTGTTCTTCTCTCGCCCTCTTATCCTCCTCCTCCTCCTTCTCCCTCCTCAGCGCGTTCAGCTCCTCATGCTTCCTCCACAGCTTCTCTGCCTCCTGGTCCTTCTCTCTCCTGAGCACGGCGATCTCCTCCTCTTTCCTCCTCAATGCGTTCATCAGTTCATCCTTCTCCCTTCTCCATTGTTCGACGACCTGCTCCTTTTCTCTCTTCAGGCCCTCCTGCACTTCGTGCTGACGTGTCAGGTCCGCGAGCTCCTGCTCCTTCTCTCTCCTCAACTTCTCCACCACCTGCTCTCTCTCCCTCTTCAGCTCCTCCACCACCTGCTCTCTCTCCCTCTTCAGCTCCTCCACCTCTTCCTCCCTCTCCCTCTTCAGCTCCTCCACCTCTTCCTCCCTCTCCCTCTTCAGCTCCTCCACCTCTTCCTCCCTCTCCCTCTTCAGCTCCTCCACCTCTTCCTCCTTCTCCCTCTTCAGTCTGCCTACCTCCTCCTCCTTCTCCCTCCTCACATTCTTCATCTCCTCCTCCCTCTTGCTCAGCCTCTCCCTCTCCTCCTTCAACGCTTGTTTCAACCCGCTGATCTCCTCCTCGCTCCTCGCCAACTTCTTCGTCGCCTCCTCTAGCTCGGCTCCAGCTCTCTCCATCTTCTCAGCTGTCTCCTGATATCGCCCGTTACACTCCGCCAGCAGGGTTTTGTACTTTTCCACCGCTTCACAAACAATGTCAAAGTCCTCCTTCGACCTCTTCCCAAGGTCCTCAGGCGCGGCCCCGAGGCCCTGCTTGATGTCAGCGATGGCTCTGGAGCTCTGGGAGAGCAGGTGCTGCATCTGATAGATCTCTTGACTGATCTCGTCATAGTTGCAGCTCGTCTCCTCATCTTCTTTTACCTTCCCATTCACATCCCCTACTGAATTCTCCACCAGGCACACGAATTCTCCGTCAGGGTTCTTGGTCAGGCTGTTCACTACCGAGGACCTCCGGCACTCCTTCTTCTCAGCACTCCTCCTCGCCTTCGACCTCGCTGAGCTAGGCGGGAGGTTGCTCAGGTTGCCCAAGGCCTTCCTCTCCTTTACCTCCTTGTCTGCTAACCCTCGCTCGCCCTCCCGAGGACGTGGGGGGATCGTGGAGCACGGGCTCTGCTCGAGCCGAGGAGAAGACAGAGCGTCCTGTCTTTGTTGCTGTCCAACGTGATCTCGTCTGCACACAACCACGACCTTGGTTGCTTTGTCACCAGAGCCAACCATGTTCGTTGGGCTCTTCACAGGGCCACTTTCCGCCCTCCTGACTCTCTCCATGCTCCTCCTCTTCTCCATGCGCGGGAGAGGAAGGGCGTCATCCTTCTCAACTACCACCTCCTCCATCGACCCGTCGTCTTTCTTCACCATCATGACAAGCTTGCCATGCTGCCCAAACTCACTCAGTACCGCCCCGAGTTCATCGAGCGTCCTTGTTCTCCTTCCTTCCACCTCAACGATGAGGTCTCCTTCCTTCAGCCCGGCTCTTCTTCCTGGTCCCTCCTCCAGCAGCCCCTCAACCCTCACCATCCCCGTCCTCGTCCCCCGCATCAGTGCGCCAAGCCCGAACCGCTCCCCTGCCATCTTACCCGCCATTTCAAACCGGGGGATGATAGGGGATGAGGGCTCACAGATCGAGTCATCGGATTGCGGCGCCGGCGCCGCCGCCCGGGGGGCCGGGCCGGGCCCGGATCTGGCGATCGGACCGTCGGACCGGACCGTGGGCCCTGAGGCCCGGGGGCCCGGATGCTCCACTGAGCGGCGGCCGCGTCACCGTGGCAAAGTTAAGTTAAAAATCAGTACGAGGACCGTTGAATCAGAAGAGTCGAGGCCGCCTCTCGGAGGGCCGGGCCCCGGCCGGTGACTCTGACTCGGCGGAGTCGACTCTCAGTCAGGCTCGGTGAACGGGCCGGGGCCCCGGGCCATTGTCCGAAACCGTGCCACTGAGGCCAAACGGCGAGGCTGAAGAGACTGAAAAAAGATAGCGAGAACCAATTTGACCCCATCCTGCCTACTGCTGCCCCCGCCAAACTCAGGGCCGCCGGCCGTACTGAACTGAACGCCGGTCGGACGCCGGGGCTAGACAACTAGCATTTTTTTAACTTAACTTTGACCGTACGGTACTCATAGCGTTGCCTTTCTCAATGCAGTGAAATCGGAAAGGCCCCAGTGACTGAGTACGGTATACGGCGTTCCGAAGGTTCCTGTGCCGAAGTTGAAGTCCGTCCGTCTCGGACGGGCCCGGCCGGGCCGCGTGACGCAGTTTCGGAGTCACTGTTCCGAACTATAGTACTATCTTAGCGGCAGCTCCACGGCTCCGAAAAGGGTCCCGACCGGCGGAGTCTGAGTCTGAGTCATCGGACCGTCCGGACGGGTGTCATGGAATGTGCGCATGATGTTTTCAAGGTCATTAGGGGGTGGGGGTCCTATGAATCATCACTAATTTTTAACTTAGCATTGAGTCACGGTCAGTTTTTAGGGGGTAGGGGTGGTGACGTTTCCACTGATGTTCTTTTTTGTCCTCGAATAACAACTGACCACCCCCCAGGCACACTACCCGATTGAAGGGTCGGTGTTTCCATTGAGCCACCCCACTTTTTTCAGAGAAAAGGAGGGGTTCAAAAGGCAACTTTTCCTCACTTTGCAAACTAAAAGGTGGTAGGGGTAGTCTGCCTCTTCGTCTCCGCCGCCTCGCCATGCCGCTGATCCACACCATCATCATCCCCCACCACCACATGCTTGCCGGCGGCCACCCGCCAGGAGAACCCACCTTCGACGCTGCTGGCTACAACAGCGGCTCCGGCATCTACCAGTGGAAGAGTGGGGCTCTCGGTCCAGGATGGACAGGTCAAGAGACTCGGATGGTTTGCAAGGATGCTGATAGGTGGCTCCGTCAGCAAGGCTGGACCAAGCCAGGAGAGCTCTCAGAGTGGGACCCCGGCTGCAGAGGATACGATACCTCCTACAACGAGTGGTACAACCTGGACGACAGCCCCTCCCCCTTCAAGTCCATCTCCAAGCCTGTGGATCCTGGCTCTGTCGACACCTGGCTCTCCAACGTCGGCGGAGGCATCTATTGATGCGCAATGTGAGTCCAACAGATCAGTTGATGTGCTCGTGTGGAGCTGAACGTTTCTCTCATCGAGACAGTCTGCTGGGAGGACCTGCATGAGGACAGCGCATGTCAACATCATGTATCTCGGTACTAATGCATCCTGTCTGCACGGTAGTCGCACGAAGTTGCTTCAATAAGATGCTGCTCTTCCAACAAATGCCTCCTGTGGCGTGCGAGCTCCCATCGCTCTCGTCCCTCGCACGCTGATGTCACACCCCGAAGCTTTACGGGTTTGCAGACGTCCACAGCGATTGCTGGCAAGGCACCTCCGCTGGACGAACATAAAGGTGAAGTGTAGTGATGTCGAGTCTACTAGCGATGCCAGATCAGCGTGGCATACAACGAGGAGAGAACAGACCCTTCTAGCTGAAGAGGCTGATCCTCATATAGGCTAAGGCAAGGACTAGGGTAGTGCTCCCTGAGGCAAGGACTAGGGGTAGTGCTCCCTAAGGCATGGACTAGGGGTATTGCTCCTTGCTGCACGAGCTCACTCGCCTCGTGCGAGCTCTCGCTTCTCGCAAGCTTCTGCTCCACTTCTTATCAGGAACGAGGTAACCACCCGTACTAGAGAGGCTCTCTCGGCCACCAGGGGTCATGCTCTAGAGCAACTCTATCGGTTATATGCTTCCAGTCCTTTGAGAGTCTCTCGCCTGACTTGGTTGACGATCAAGGGTGAGCCTAGCCTCGAGTGCTGTCCCTTACCTTGGCTAGGTCCAGTCTGAGGTGAACTCGCTGTGCTAGGGATAGGCAGCAATGGAAGTACGAGTCCGAGTCTTTGGGCATGACAATATAGTGCACCTGAAACTTGTCGACGATAGTACGATAGTACGCCACAAGCCTTCATCCCTTCAAAGCGTGTAAAGAGTCGAATGGGTCAAACTTTTTCATGCTTGCGTCATCTGAGAAGACAACAAACTTCCGGTTGTCAAACATGCTATTAGTGTGCGCAAGGTGTATCAGAACAGGCTTGCCTCAGACAATACTAATACTATATAGAGAAGGCAGTGAAACCTTCTATTGGCGCACCCCAACCATACGAGCTGGATGGCAAATCCGTATGAAATCAAAAAGTCAGTTATGTGTGGAATTTTCAAATAAGTTCTTATAATTTCAATATATGTAACCAAATTTCAAGACAAACTTTCACTCCAAGACGAAACTGTGCTCGATGAAGGTCGGCAAATGGTTGCGATGATGTGATGGCTAAGGGTAGGACAAGGACGAAGCAAGAGAAGCAAGAAGACTAGTAGAAGAAGTTTCGAGGAGAAGACAAGACAACAAACATGCACTGACTGATAAGGGAGAAAGAAGCATAGAAGGAGGAAGACGTGGTGGAGGAGGAAACTGCTGTGAACTTTGGGGGAGCTACGGCAAAGAAAACCGCATGAAAATGTTGAGTCAGTCCAAGCTGTAAGAGCAGCAAATAATGGCAATTATGATTCGACTCCAATCCCACGCTACCGTCATCTTGTTGATGATCGTCAGCTGCTCGGCCATCCCGTTGGCCCAGCACGACCATCGATTGGACCTGATTCCGATCAACATATCGGTGCCTCCGGTTGTTCTTGTTCCTGTAAGTCTTCACATGTTGCACTGTTTCACTTCCTTTCTTGTTCTGATGACTGAGAGTTTGTTTGGACTGATGAGTGTAAATAGCCTTGTGAATCGTTTCTTTTCCTCTGTCTATGGTTCAACCCTGCTTCTGCTGCTCCTGACATGCTAGCAGGGCATTGGAGGCTCCATAATGTCTGACGTCTCATCGGGCGTGAGGGTATGGATCCGCCTGTACGAAGCAGACACGTACTTCGAGCGGTTCATGTGGGGCAAGTTCAACGCGAGCAGCATGAAGTTGGAGCCTTTCCCTGGACAGCCTCTTGTGGCTCCTGTCCTGTCAGGCTACGGGCTTGATGGGATCAGAAACTTAGACCCAAGCGTGCGATGGCCCATCTACGATTACGTGGCCTACTTTGATGCCATGATTCAAGAGCTCGAGTCGCAGGGCTGGATCCACGGTATCTCCCTCTTCGGCGTTCCATGGGACTGGCGCCAGAGCATGTGCTGGACTCCGACGTTGGACCGTCTTGAGGACGCGCTAAGAGCTGCTAGGGAGCGAAACAATGGCAGGAAAGTTGCTCTGGTATCCCACAGCATGGGCGCCCTCGTGGTGAAATGCTTCATGGCACGACGGCCAGAGTTTTTCCAGGAAGCTGTGGAAACTTGGATCTCAATCGCCGCGCCCCACCAGGGAGCGAGCGCGAAGATCTTCATGGAGTTCCTGCAAGGGTGAGACGAAGGGATCATGGTTGTTGGTCACGGCCTCTGAGATCTTCGTCAGGTATAACTTGGGAAACATCGTCATCGGGGCGGAGGCTGCCAAGGTTTTATCAAGCTTGGAAGACGACCATGTGACTGGGGCTGCTTTCTAGGTTCTGTCACTGGAGGCGCCAGCAGTCTACGAGCTTCTCCCACAAGAAAACTTTGAATGGCAGGAGCAGCCATACATTGCCCTCCAGTGGAAGAATGGAACGAGACAGGTGAGTTTTTCCCTGTCATGATAACTCTGATCGTGATATAGGTTTACGGCGAGACTGGTGGAACGACAGGGTGATTGTCGAGATGAAAAATTCTCTTGTCATTCCTTGATCCATGGACATAGGTACGACATCCCCATCAGAAACTCCTTGGTGGACCACAAGATGACGCTGCCCTGGTCGGGGGAAACGCTGCCTGAGCCCTTTAACGAAGACTGCTGGGAGTTGAGTCAGGGCACGAGGAGGGAGATCTTCGAGGTTGAACATCCTCCTAACTTGAGGTTCTACAACATCTATGGAACAAACCAGGTCTCCTTTCTTTGATCCCCGGCCCCTCCAAATCCAAAATTCTTTCCTCCCTCCCTCGCTTCCTTTGGATTGTCCTGGCTTAATTTCTTTTTCTTTCCGATTCTCACCTGGCACACAGGCCACACCGAATGGCCTGGAGTTCACAGGTGACTGAGCATGTACGTGACAAAACAATGAGCTGATGAGCAAGTTGTTGTTGTAGATGTCGGAGACTGGAGAGATCTCTCCAACCTCAAGTACTCGACCACCTTGACAGATGGAGATGGTAAACCATCCATGAGCTTGTTCCGCATGCTTACTCTGTGCAGGAACTGTCTCTGTTGAGAGTGCGAGCAACCATGGTCTCAATGCTTCCAAGACTCTTGGCGTGAACGCTGACCACATGAGCATCCTGATGAAGTCGGACACTCTGGACTTTGTCCTGCAAGCTCTGTATGGAAGGATATAGAGGCGTCCACGGAGAAAGCTTTTTTCTTCGTTGCTCCTGATTGTTCTGCTTTTACATGTCTATACCAAGTCAACGACACGATCTATTCATGACTCAGAAGATCAAAATCCAGCTTTTACTAGCATTACTCTACTCTAACAAAACATTACAGCCAACACACCAAGCACACGAGAGATGAGGGAAGGGAGTACAAGTCTGAACAAAATCCATCTCTCGCAAAAGTATTTATGCATCTATTTGTTTGCTGTCGTTGCTTCCTGTGTGGAGATCATTGACGAGCAAGAGATTGATCTTTGCAGCGGATCCTTCTTGCCCTGCTTACTTCCCTGCTGCTCGTCGCTCTCGCCTATGGATGCCTGCAGGTCTCGGTCCACTGTCGTGGTGACCATGGGGACTTCGTTGGCGCCAAAAAACCGGCACCAGTTGATGTAGTCGAGAAGGTCGAACGACGGTCGCTCCAAGGTCGTGATGAGATCGACAGATTCATCTTCAGACGGCTCTGCATCCCACTTCCCTCCTCTTGATAACGAGAGCTGTAGATCAAGTCATTGAATGGATTTCTCATTCGGGCAAAGAGTTACCTCCAGCATTTCGCTGTCCCAGGTGATCACTGGTGTTGTTTCCTTTCCTTCTTTACTTGGGCTTTCCTGCAAACTTGTACCCCCTGCCTTGACGAGACCTTGGTCTTTCCTTCTCACTCACTCTCTCACTCACGAGCTAGCTGGCTGTATCAGCTTCTCTGTTCAGTTGTTCTCCTCTCAATATATCCTCTTCCTCCTCCTCTCTTCGCTCTTCTCGTCCTGGCCTGTCTTCAGGTCGTGTACTCCCGTACCCCTGCTCTTGAGAACTTCCCGCTTTTGCTGTGACTGCAAGTTTTCGAGGGCCCTATTTCTTGACTACCAGTCAACAATTGTGTTCAAATTTGAATGAGACATTTGAAAAGTTGATATTACATTTTAGAATATTTGCCACAAATGTTATCAATTAAATGAATATGTGAAAATTGGAAGCAGCGCGATTTTCCTCAAATTATGTGAGCGGGTGTGATTTCATAGCGACTCATCTAAAAATGTTTTAGAATATCGTTTTAAAAAGAAACTAGAAATATTATGGTACAATTATATACTAATAAAACATTATAAATATATTTCAACATCTGTTTTTAGGAAATAGGTAGGGAGAAATGAGTGGCCGCAGCGATCAACTGGCTGGATAAAACTAATAAAACTAGTTTTGTGTCCTTTAGACTGTACCGGGAAAGGGAACAAATATATTTTACTTTGTAGATTTATATAAACACGTACAGCTATATGTTTCAGGTCCGCCTCAATTGTCCATACCCCTGACCCCACCCCACTAAAATTCTACCATATGGACTTCTCGACTACCCCCAATTTTATATACCCACCCCCTAATATTGGCTCTTTTTATATCAAAAGTACCCCTTACAAAGGTACTACCTTTCCACTATCACCCCGTGGATCGAATAGCACCCCCAGAAAGCTCGCACCCGATGCCGGGTGCGAACGCGATGGCTCCTGAGGGACCAGATGGAGGGGCAGTGGACAGTACCATGAACATGCTGCGATGATCATTGTCTTTGGTATCATCGATCCTCCGTGATTTCAGCATCGCTGCAAAAATTCTCTCTCCTTGCTGAGCTGTGTGAGGAGAACAGAGGGTACCTGAATCAAGAAACGATGAATTTGGATGTCATTGGAAACTTCACAGCCGAGGGCTCGGCGGTGTATCAGGTCAGCTATCCTCAATCCATGGCAAGTTCTATTGTCCAGAGCTCAAACTGCGAAGGAGACGAAGAGATGCTGGTCGATGAGCCAGCTGCGCAATATGTGGCTGAGGGCGGCAACCCGAGCTGTGGCTCGCATCGCATCGAGGAGGCAGAATCTGGGACAGCGACGCCTGACACGAACCCACGTACGAACACCATGGCTGATACATGTGCTCCTGTCAAGAGAGATGATCAGTTTCCTCCGTCAAGAAGTTGGACCCCAATGGCTAGCGAAAGTGATTTGTCTCTGTACCTCACAGCCAGTGTTAGCAGCAGGATGTCACTCGTGGAAGAACATGAAGGTGCACTCCAGTCTGATCATGGACGAAACATGGCAACTCTGCAAAAATGGGAGGATTTGCTCAAGTCTCGGCCGAAGGATCCTATGGTAGATATTTCTTGTTTTGTACTTTCTGTTGGGCCTTGGTTGCCTCAGGCTGATCTGTGGAGAATATCTCACGTTTTTCTCTTTCTTTTCGTCATTGCCGTAGAGATTGCAACCTGACAACTTCCCTTGGTGGTGTGATGACTCATGCTTGGTGGTTGACAGGCGTTCTACTGGAGGGAGATGATAGCCTGGTGTCGGGCGCGGGCCGGACGACCTTGCGTTGACGATGACGAGCCAGCAGGGGCGAAACGAGTAGCAAACGTGAGCAACGAGTATGATGAGAGTGTAGATATGCTGGACAGGCTGGTCAAGAGATGTCGATGTAACGATGATGTCTCTTGTTTCCAAGCTGCTGAGCCGCACTGATTTCTGGCAGTCACGCGGCCGCCATCAGATGTCACAAAGTTTTATTCTTTTGATGTATGTAAAAACAGTCGTGAAGACGGCACTGCCGCATCTCGTTTTCCTGCACATCCCAGCCCGGGCTACTCTTTCCGAGTTCTTGTCCCTAAAGTCAACCGTCAGTCAAAGTGTTCCGGGCCCGGGCCGGGCCGCTTCAAAAGTTCCGGAGTCCGGGCCATTATTACTGAGACAGGATCGGACATCGTGGCCCTCATACAGCCTTCAATTCATCACCCCACCAATCTCCCACCCGTGCACCTACCCAGCTCTAATTAGACCTCCACCCCTTCTTCCTACCACGATCAGTACCCACCCTCCTACTAGCAGGGGGCAACTAGCCAGTTGAGCACGATATGGGAAACCCGCCGCCTCCCGCAGAGCTGCTCGCGATGGGCCCGCCGAAAGGGACGAGGAGGAGGAGAGGAGAGGTGGTAGAGATCGCACAAGGACAGCAGGAGGAGGAGGGAGCGGGAGCGATCGACGAGGGTACCCGAGTGCAGCTGGTTGAGGCTGTGAAAGGACTAATGCGAACTCAGATCAGCTCAGGGAGGCAGGTAGGGATGCAGGTGTCAGTGTACTGGAAGGGAGAGGAGGTAGCGTGTGTGTGCGGAGGAGGATACAGGACGTCGGAGAGCAAGGAGTGGAAGCCTGTGACGAGGGACACGCTGTTGATGACCTACAGCGTCTGCAAGGGTGTGTCGGCAGTAGCGCTCATGACGTGTGTTGATGCGGGGGAGTGCGCCTACTCTCAGCCCGTCTCCTCTGTGTGGAAGGAGTTCGGGCATGCAGGCAAGTCGACGATGAGCATCGCAGATGCTGTGTCGCATCGAGGAGGGATTCCCGGCATGTCGGGGGGGGTTATCTATGCGCACATGAAAGCGGTGAGGGGCTTGCGAGGTTGAAGCGTGAGCTGCTCTCCTGATGTGAGGGTTGATCCTGCAGCTCAAGAGAGGCTGGAAGTATGCTTGGGATGCCGGCATGAAGTTTGTTGAGAAGTACAAGCCTGAATGGAAGATCGGGACCATTTCATCGTAAACGAGCTTGTTCCAGGCTGATGTCACCTTGACAGCTTCGCAGGTATCACTACGTTTCTTTCTCATGGATCATCGGCGGGATCGTTCAGTTTGCTTCAGAGAAGCACATCTACGACATAGTCCGCGAGAGGATCGCCAAGAAACTTCAGGTTGCTGACGACATGTACCTCGGCCGACTCCCAGCCAACGAGCACGGTGAGGAAGGGACTTTGCGGTGCAGCTGTTTACAGCTGAACTGTCTGGTGGACGTCAGGTCGAGCTGCTCTCCTGGAGAACCCTCGAGCTTACTCAAAGGTGAAGTGGAGCATCAGCAAGTCTCTCGCCTCCTCCATCGAAGCCAGAGCCTCCGTCAGCCTTGGAAACAGCAAAACATGGAGAGGTGAAAGGCTGTGATGGTGAAAAAAGAAGATGAAAGATGATGATGATGATGATGATGATGATGATGATCAAGATGATCAAGATGATGATGATGATGATGATGATGATGGAGATGATGGAGATGATGATGATGATGATGATGATGATGATGATGATGATGATGATGATGATGATGATGATGATGATGATGATGATGATGGAGATGATGATGATGGAGATGATTATGATGATGATGATGGAGATGATGAAGATGGTGGTGGTGGTGATGATGATGGAGATGATAATGATGATGATAATGGAGATGAAGTAGATGATGATGACAATGACAATGACATCGATGATTGATGATGAAGGAAATTGATTATTTGGTAGCCATCTGTCTTCCTAGTTCCAACGGTTTCTTTACTTCCGATGCTGTCGCACGGATGTATGGAGCACTGAGTAACCGAGGCAAGCTTGCTGACGGTACAGCAACTTTGCCGTCTGCCTTCGTTGACATGCATGCTGAAGGAACACAGCTTGTGTCAGCCAGCACAGTAGAACAAGTTGTGAGCGCAATGAGACTTGTTTCTAGATCCGCTGGTTGACTGTGATGGCAGGTACAACTCATGGAGGATCCGAGCAACAACGTCGGGACTAGAGGGGATGACCTCGTCGCAAACTTGTCCCTGGGCTTCAGCCCATGGAAGAATTTCCGTGTGCATGGTAAGATGGTGGAGTGAGAGTTCGGCTGCTGATGGCTGCGCAGATGAAGGCTGCGCGTTCTGGCACTGCGGTATGGGAGGATGTATTGCGTATGGGGAGCCGAAGACTCGGTTCTCTATTGCTGTGTTCAAGACTGCGTACGAGCCAATCTCGATGTTCGATGGAGAGAACATCCCACCTGATGTGCTGGACATTGTGAAAGCGGTGAAGGAAGTGTTGAGGATTGATGTGAGAAGATACGGCGATGTGTGATGAGGTTTTCAAGTTGGAACAATAGTCACTCACTCTGACGTTTTGTCGAGCTCCTGGAAGTTTTTGGTGTTGCGAGTGAAGATGTCAAATTCTGTAGCCAGTTCGTTGCTGTCGTTCCATTCATCACACCTTGAAAGATTGTGATCCTTGACATCAACAATGATTGGTAGATGCCATTGTTGAAAGCTTGAAACTCAACCTTTATACATCCATCTTTGATCTATACATCATTTTCTCATTCTCTATACATCCTGCTCAAAATTCTCCTCAGAATTTCAAAATGTGGCTCAGAATCTTGGAGCAAATAACCATCACTGATGTGTTCTGGACTCACTGGAACAGGAACAAATCTTTTCAACGCTCTCCATGGAACCTCAAAACCTTGTTGAGCTGTGTTTGCATCTTCGCTAGCCTGAGCGGCATGTTGGTAGTACTCGACTCCTTGGTTGTTGTGGGACGTCCATGAAAACTCAGGCAGCAAGACGGGAATGATGTATTTCCCTGTCTTGACTGCTTGACAGAATTCAAACTTACAGTTGATCGATTTGCAGTATTGATCTGTGAGGAAGAGCAGGAAGATCTGAATTGAATGACAACAGCCAAAGTCACGTCTCCTCCTCCTCCTCCTCCTCTCCTTCGTCTCCCTCCTGCTCCTCCTCCTCCTCCTGCTCCTGCTCCTGCTCCTGCTCCTGCTCCTGCTCCTGCTCCTGCTCCTGCTCCTGCTCCTGCTCCTCCTGCTCCTGCTCCTGCTCCTGCTCCTGCTCCTGCTCCTGCTCCTGCTCCTGCTCCTGCTCCTGCTCTTCCTCTTCCTGCTTCCCCCTTTTACACCCTCCGTCCTCTTCGCCTCCTCCTCTCTCCACCTGCTCACCTTAGCTCTTCGAACTCCTTCCTGCATCGCTTGTAAGTGATCTTGGCCTCCTCCTATCCCTCCCGCTATGTCCAGCCAGCAGAACACGCGCGTACTCAGCTCAACTTGCTTCACAAAGCTCCTCACAAGCTGTTGAGTTCTGTTCTCATACCCCCAGTTGTAAGAACAGAACACTGACGGCGGCATGATGTCAAGGACGCGGATGTTGGGGTTGTCACCGTTGTTGTTACAGTACTCGCAGAACAGAGCTCCCACCCTGTTTCTGTTCTCCTCCGAAAAGAAGAGCAGGCATCGCTCTCGCTCGAAGCAGAAGGGAGGAGCTCGTCCCTTGAAAACGCACTGCGGGCAAGGAATAGCCTCCCGTACCAGCTCCTGCGATAGGATCTCTATCAGGCTGTGCCTGTGACCGTTGGCGCAGACCCGCAAGCTGCTCTCCTCCCCTTCCCTCCCGTCCTGCAGCTGCGACGTCTGCGCTGCCAGCTGCTCTTCGAGCGGCTTCCTCGGGTACGAGTGACACTTGAGGTCTGCGAAGAGGCGGCAGGACGGGCAGGGGACCTTAGAAGATTTCTCGAGGTCGAGGGTGATGGGGGAGCGACCCCTCCATTCCTCGAGGTACTTGCGAACTTGCGGCATCAGCTCCGACGAGAACTTGTCGTTCCACTGATGGGAGACACGAAAGTCGACGAAGATAGCATGCCGCGACATCTCAGGAAGATCTTCTGGCCACCATGACGTGTAGGACTTGGGATTGTACCCTTCGACGAGTATCGGGATGATTTCGCAACCTGAACCTTTAAATCTCCTCAACTTTGCGAGGACGAGCTCCCTTCTCTTCCTAGTGCTCGAGAAGTAGCTGAGAGAGGAGTTGCTGCTATGCTGCATGTGCCGATCGAAGAAGAGCAGAACGAGTCGAGCTGACGTTTCTCTGCATGTCCTGCTCTTTCCGAAGCAGATTTCAAACGTCAGGTCATGGGGAAATCTTTCGATCATGAATCTTGACAGCCTGGCAGAAGGAGAGTCGTTGTCCTTGTGCAGACAGTGCAGACTTGCTTCTTCATCGAAGCTTGCTGAGAGCAAGACGATGTGCGAAGCCTGGAACACTCTAGCTTGTTCCTCCGGCGATATCATACTCCTCTGCCAAACCTTGATCCCCGGGAAGCGATCTATGACAAGATCCAACTCATTCACAGCATACTTCAACTTCTTGAAGTTGCTTGCTCGCAGAACAATCTTGACGGTGTTGAGACTGATCAGGTTTGAATCTACCTCTGCGCTCACTTCCTCCAAGGCATCGATGCGAGTAGTTGTAGGGGCTCTGCACCGTTTGACGAGGTAGTAAACGAGCAAGAGGGGGAGGAGGCACAAGAGGAGTAGGATCAGAATGCCGACGATGGGGCAGAAGAAGAGGAAGAAAACAACCGATCCGACCAACACATGCATCGCTGTCGTCAGAGGTCGTTCAGTAAATCTCTCGCACAGCACCGAGTCCTTGTTGAGACTGAACACCGACAGCGACTTGGTCTTGCTTGACACGTTGTCCAGCCCCAGCAGCTCGCTGGACCGTCTCCTCTGACCGGTCCCTTGGACCACGAACAGCTGAAGCATCGTCCCGAAGCTGTAGAACGCTGCGACGTGCTTGCTGACATCCGCATGATGCGCCTCTGCCCTGTAACGTATGAGCATCTCTCGGAGAAATCCCGCAGGAAGGTCAAAGAAGGTCATCTCCGCCCAGAAAGGAGAGTCTTGCAGAGAAAACGCGGAAGCGTCAACTGCCATCCTCTGCTGGGGTGCCAGCAGGTCAGGGACCAAGAACTCCATGTGGCTGACCTGAGAAACAAGCTGAAACCCTGTCAGCAGAGCAAACGCTCTCAGCTCATCTTCTGCTCCTCCTATCACCACCCCGTCCTTCTCGCCCTCCCATATTCGCCTCTCGTTCTCATAGCACGTCGGCTCTTCTCCTTCCCCCGCAGCTCTCGCCCCCATGATCTCTTCCCAGTAGCGACTCCTCCTCGGCCATAGGAAAGGAGCCAGCGAGCGATGCAGGCTGCCGTAGACGCGCAGCCGCTGCCCATGGTGAAGGAGCTCGCGGAGGTTGTGGCGATGAAAGTATGACAGCATCGCATCGTGCTCATGGCGGATCAGACCCTTGAAGACGCTGACCATCCAGGGGATGCTGATGAAGACTGTATCTGACAGCGTGCTCTGCGTGTTGTCAGCAGACGACAACCGTCGGATCTCCCAGCACAGCCCTGTCTCCCTTTCCTCTCCTCCGTTCACAGAGATCGAAGTCTCCGAAGGCGCTGCCATGGAAAAACTCGCTCCTGCCCCTGCCTTCCCAATCCTGCCAAAGTACCGCAGGACTGACGTTTCATGCAGAAACACAGTCACTGCTCGGGTCATCGCTGGATCGATCTCCTGCTCCTTCACCATCTCCACGAACTCCCCGATGCTCAGCCAGGGCGTCAGCTGGCTGCGAGCTCGGACGCTTGCGATGAGGGACAGCCAGGACCTGGGAAGGGGCTCGTGGTACCACTTGGAGGAGAGAGCCAGGTCAACGAGCAGCTGGCGGAGCTGTGGGATACCCTTGCCGCTGATACTGTCCACCCCGAAGCTCTCGCTCAAGTTCAGCACGTCCAAGGGCGGAGTCTCCTCGGAGGCGATACGATGCTGCAGCTTCAGTCGCTCCTGCACTGTCGCCTTGACGGCAGCGCACTGCGAGTCAAGCTGAGAGGTCGAGACGCTGTCGGAGTGAGTGACTACCAGGAGGATGGTAGCGCCTGGCACCTTGCACTGCAACAGGTCCAACCAGTCAACTATACTCTGACATACCCCCGATATGTCTCGAGATTCTTCTTCTGTTCGCACGGGCTTCCATACGATGATGTTGAGCGATCGCCTCGTCACGAAGTACTGATGGGTTGTCATGTACACCTTCTGTCCCCCGAGGTCGTAGCACAGGAACTGCAGGTGCTCATCCTTCACATCCCACCTCGTGATGTCAACTCCTACTGTCCGCGTGTCTATCGGGATCTCGGGCGAGCGATCGTTCTCCGTGTCCTGCAGAGCTTGCAGCAGGCTGGTCTTCCCTGCCTCTCCTTCCCCGATGACAGACAGGTGGATGGTCTCGTTCAGCTCCTGCTGCTCCAGCAGCTCCCTCAGGAACTTCATTGTCACCGTCGAACCCTGGTTGGCGATCTCCATGGGCGGGGTGATCAGCTGGGGACAGTTACTGCACTTGATCAGCTGGACTTGTGTGGAGGAGAGAAGCTCAAGAGCTGGGAACCACTCTATCCTCGGGTTGTCCGACAGGTCGATGCTGCTGATGTGGTGGACCTGCACGAACTCGATAAAGTGCTGGTGGACTTGTTGAGCGCAGAGGAAGAATGGGACGCTCAGCCATGGCCTTGTCTTGTCCGTACATCGAGCATCGAGGGAGGAGTTTGAGATCATCGAGATCAGGTGCTTCGTCATGAGCTCCATGTTGGAGTTCTTGTCTATCGCCAGGTTCACTCGCATCCTGTCCATCAACGGCTTGTAGGTCGGCAGCAGGCGAACCTGGTAAGTGTCGAGCACCCGCATGCACCCATCCACGTCTTGCAGCTCCTTCAGCTGGACAAGCTGAGAAATCATGTGCTTCGCCATCGCTCGCCTCCGTCGGCAGGGCTGGCACGTCGACGCGTCAGGGCGGTCGACACAGATGCAGCAGTTGAGCCCGACGGTCCAATGGGCGTGATAGTCCAGCAGGTGCCCAACTATCGCGGACATGCCGCGCAAGGAGCAGAGGTTGTTGACTCTGGGCAGGTTCCCTCGCCCGCATCGAGAGCTCGCGCTCGTCATGTGCTCCCCCTCGATCCCGCATACGTCGCATACCCACGCCATTCCTGCCCCCGCCACCACCCCACCCCCCCACTCACCTCGATCTCCAGAGCTAGATTTAATAAGAGGGGTGGGGTGGTCCTTGGGGTGGTTCGCAACAGGTCGGGTGGAGGTGGGGGATGGAGAGGCTCATAACCTGTTCAAAGAGGTCAACTCACTGAGTGACTGGCCGGCATGTCCAGCGGGGGACCGGCCGAGGCCCGCCGCCCTGACACGCCATCAATGATGAGCCATGGCAGTAGAGGAGAGAAGAGGAGGGGAGGGGAGGGGAGGGGAGTGGAGAGGAGAGGAGAGGAGGGGAGGGGAGAGGGAGAGGAGAGGAGAGGAGAGGAGGAGAGAGGAGGGAAGGGGAGAGGAGGGCAGAGGAGGAGAGAGGAGGGCAGAGGAGGGCAGGGGAGGGGGGACCTGAAAAGGGGCGGGGAGCGTTTCGAATGCAGGCAACTCAAGTCAAGTGAGGTATGACGTAGAGAAGAAGGAACATTGAAATTGACAATGAGAGGAGGAAGAGAAGAGGAGAGACGAGTATCTGCTTGACATGATGAATAATCTTGTGATTCAGCATCGTCTGAGAGACCAAAAGGAAAAAATGCAGCATGCTTCAAACTGTTGCATCTGTTTCACCTTAGCGACAGGTGTGTGAATACTGTTGTTCTTCCACTCCTTGTGACTTGTCTTCTCACCATACCTCATCGACCTTCTACATCTCTTTCCTCCATCGCGACCAACTTGACTCATTGCAGGCGTCAACATCGTCGCTGTCCTTGACCTTCTGCAAGGAGCTTTGACAGGTTACACTCTTGCGATCGAGCGATCTTGACCTTCCTGCTAGTCTTCCTTGGCCTCTGCGTTCTGACGGCGCCTGAGACGTTTCATGGTGCTGAACTTGATCGTTTCCTCGTCCACCTGCTGAGATGCTTCAGGTCACCCGCTCGTGCACCACTTCCTGTACAACGAGACAGCAAGTGAGAAGGAGGATAGGGGGAGGGGACGAGAAGAAGGAAGAGCAGGGGGGTTGGGGGGGAAAGGCCAGGAGGGGGAGGAGGGGGAGGAGGGGGAGGAGGAGAGGGAGAGGGGGAGGGGAGAGGGAGAGGAGGAGGGGAGAGGGAGAGGAGGAGGGGAGAAGAAGGGGAGGAGAGGGAGAGGGAGAGGGCGAGGGGAGAGGGAGAGGAGGAGGGGAGAGGGAGAGGAGGAGGCGACAGGAAGGCGAGGACAGGGAGAGGGAGA